CAAAAAAAATAAAAAAGCCAGAGAAACACTTTCTTCTATTTTTTTTAACCATTTTTTTCCATCCAAGGAAGCATATATTTTTAATATTCTTGGATATAAAGAACCCAGAGTACTTTATTCACTATTTTACTGTGGAAGATTGACACTTTGGAAAGTAGAGTGGTGTCTATAAAGGTTCGTCTTTTTGGTTATTTTATATTTCTTAGAATCCGTTTTTGAAAGTTTAGTACAAATCACATTCTCGTGTTTCTAAGTGTCCACAAAAGTATGACACTTTACATATTATTTTCAATAATTTGAAAAGCCTGCCGTGTACTTTTACCCTTAATAGAGCTGTAATGCACAGGCTAAGATATCAATGTTATTTGCTTTTAACCAGAATTAATCAACTTAATACTGTAACACTATATGTCACGCTGATCAGAAAATGTCACTGATTACTTAATGGAGAAATAGATAATAAATACAAATTTCTGACAACATCAAAACATGGGTGTGTCGAAGAAAAATGATAAAAGGAGTCCTTGGAGGTGAAAAGATTTATGAACTACTGCCTTCAAGATATAACACATCAAAGTACTATTGGCCTTTAAAATCACAGTATCAGTTATCATCAGGTATTATCAAGATAAGACTAAAGGAATAAGACAGCACAGGTAATTGCTAAGAAGGAGAGAAGTCAGGGAGAGGGGAAGTAGGGTAAGCACTGTATATTAGTCTAGATAATTTTGTAATCAACAGAAACAAACTAGCTCAGTTAAACAGAAAAGGAATTTATTTTGTAGTTCACCAAATGAACAAGAAGTCTGGAGAGCAAGACCCAGATCTGCATATACCGGTCATGGGAGAAGTGGAACCATTTATTAATCACTGGTTCAGAGCACGCTCTGCAAACCACAGGGCAGCACCCCAACCTTCAAAGATGTTTAATCTTGGCTGGTGCCATAACTGAGTGTTTAATGTGCCATTCCATCATTTTATAGGTTTAGCTTCTGGATGATGAGATATACGGGAAGACCAGTAAATCACGTAGAAATTAACCTGTTCTCTTACTTGTCTCACACTAAAGTGAGTTCTTTGATAAGATACAATGCTGAATGTAATGTCTTGATGGATGTGTAATGTCTTGATGATATCATCCACTCATCCACTAATGGATGGTGTTGGCAGAGGCAAATCTAATCAAGTGTCTGTTACAGTAGAGATTATTTACTATCCCCAAAGAGGGCCAAGCATTATTCCATGAGGTGGCTGATAGGTCCTTTAGAAGAATGGGTACCATTTCAGAGGCTTAGAGTTGGTCACTCTTTTTTTTTTTTGCTTGAGGAAGATTGTCACTGAGCTAACATCTGTGCCAGTCTTCCTCTGCTTTATATATGGGATGCTGCCACAGCATGGCTTGATGAGCGGTGCATAGTTCTGCGCCCGGGACCCAAACCTTTGAACCCACGAGCCCTGGGTCGCAGAAGTGGAGCACACCAACTTAACCACTACGCCACCGGCCTGACCCCCAGTTGGTCACTCTTGCTGCTGCTGGCAAATTGGGCACTCAGCCAGGTAAACCATGGGAAGTGAAGGAACATGGTGTTGAGCCCATACCTGCCTTCTATCCCTCCCCCTATGGCCATTTTATTCCTGAGCCCATTGCCAAGCCCTGGGGCGGCTCCTGAGAAAGACTATTATTATTCACCTGATTATAAAATGTTTCCTCTGAAGAAAATGGAAGAGACCATGGCTTGACTGACAAATTATACCTGAGGAAAAATAAGATAACCCAGGCAACTCCTAAAACATAATTGATGGAGGAAAGGTGGAACTTAACTGGGCTAAGTAAGCCCTGGTTTAGCATGAAAGCATTAAGACTCACAGAATTTCAAGTTATGTATTTACATGTAACTGATCTGTGAGTTATTGCATCTCTTTTTGGGAAGAATGAAGTTTTGAAAAATTTTCAACTAGCTAAATAAAATGAAATATGACTTGAACTTTAAAAATGAAAAAGCGTATCCTCTAGGGCCGGCCCAGTGGCATAGCGGTTAAGTTCACACACTCCGCTTTGGTGGCCCAGGGTTCACCAGTTTGGATCCTGGGCGTGGACCTACTCATCACTTATCAAGCCTTGCTGAGGTAGCATCCCACATAGCAGAGCTACAACTCTACAACTATGATACACAACTATGTACTGGGGCTTTGGGGAGAAAAAAGAAAAAACAAAGGAGGAAGATTGGCAACAGATGTTAGCACAGGGCCAATCTTCCTCAAACAAACCAAAAAAAAGAGCATCCTCTGAAAAGGGAGCCTGCTGTGGACTGACTTGTGCCCCCACCCCCACCCCCAATTCATATGTTGAAGCCCTAGCCCCCAATGTGACTCAATCTGGATGTAGGTTCTTTAGGAGGTAATTAAGGTTATAAGAGGTCATAAGGGTGGGGCCCTAATCCCTTAGGACTGTGGCCTTGTACGAAGAGCAAGGTAGCCCTGTCCCCATAAGGAGGACATCTGCGATCCAGAAAGAGAGCTGTCACCAGAAACCAAATTGACCAGCACCTTGATCTTGGACTTCCCAAGCTCCAGCACGGTTAAGAAATAAATTTCTGTTGTTTAAGCCACTCAGTCTATGGTATTTTGTTATGGCAGCCCAAGCTGACTAATACAGGGCCTTTTGATAGCATTTATATAAGACAAATATTCCCCAAATCTAGGCCCATTCTGAAAGGTCCATCCACATTCCTCTCCCCTAAAGTTTCTGGCACCAATCCTATAATCTTGTTCTTTCCAAGTCCCTGACTTGAATCAAGCCAAACCATTAGCCACTTTCAGAGTACTTCTTTTTCCTTAGGGCACAGTAACCCTGGGTAGAAGATAATGTTATGAATGGTCTTTCCTCAAAGGTCTCCAGTCTCCTCTTCATTCAGAGGGATTTGTGAACTGATTGCTGTGTGGCCAAGGCTTTGTCAGGCCTGCATTGCAGGAGGGAGAGGGAAAAGAGGGAGAAAGAGAGAAAGAAGAGAGGTGATCAGGAGGGGGAGAGTGGAGGGAAGGAAGGAATGGAGGGAGGGAAGGAGGAAGGGAGAGAGAGACTTCTAAGCATATGGTAAAGGCCATAGCTTTGTATCCCATGAAGATTATAGGGAAATATACTTAATTTTAGGATCAAAATAATGATGGTGTTATGGGCTGAATTTTGTCACCCCAAAATTCATGTGTTGAAGTCCTAGCCCCCTGTACCTCATAATGTGGCTATATTTGGAGATAGGGCCTTAATTTAAAGAGGTAATTAAGGTAATATGAGGTCATATGGGTGAGTCCCAAACCAAGATAACTGGTTTCCTTATAAGCAGAAGAGATTAGGACACAGACACTCAAGGTGGGAAGACCACATGGAGACACAAGGAGAAGACGGCCATCAACCAGCCAAGGAGAGAGGCCTCAAAATGAAACTAACCCTCCAACACCGTGACTCAGACTTGTAGTCTCAGAACTGTGAGGAAAAAATTTCTAAGTCACCCAGTCTGTGGTACTTTATTATGGCAGCTCTAACAAACTAACACAGATGGTTAACATAACCCATTGAATGATGTAAGAATTCATGAGTACTTACTGATACAAGTGAATAATAAATGGAGAAAAATGGAAAGTGTTCTCTGACACTAGAATGCCAACTAATAAATGTAGAAGGAACAATGTAATTAGAAAATCACCATTTGATAACCATCATAAAAATAATTGGTCCAATGATTGGATTAAGAAAATGTGGTATATATATACAATGGAATACTACTCAGTCATTAAAAAAAGACAAAATCGTCCCATTTGCAACAACATGGATGGGCCTGGAGGGTATTATGTTAAGTGAAATAAGCCAGAAAGAGAAAGACAAACCACTGTATGATCTCACTCATATGTGGAATATAAACCAACACATGGACAGAGAAAACTGTATTGTGGTTACCAGGGGCAAGGGGGTGGGGGGTGGGCACAAGGGGCGAAGGGAGTCATATATATGGTGATGTACAACCCAAAATTTCACAATGTTAAAAACTATTAAAACATCAATAAAAAAATAATAATTGGTCCAAGCAATAATAATAATATATGCTAGAAGTGGTAGAAAGATAAAAGTTTGATGGGAAATAGGATGTTTAGTCTTAAAGTCTCTCCCCGTAAATTACAAAGAGTGAAACAGTAACTTTCCAGTGGAGAAAGCTGGCAGACACTCCCTTAACTACTACCCGAACGACAGGACAAACTGACATCATGTGCCTCTTGATATGAATACACAGACCCCATAACTTCTGTATATTCCAGCCCAAAGTGCATCGCCTGAAAACATTCACAAGGAAACATCAGACAAACCCAAACTGAGAAAGGTTCTACAAAATAAATGGCCTGTTCTCTTAAAAAATATCACGGTCATGAAAGACAAAGAAAGACTGAGGGAACCAGAGTGCTTCAGATCAAAGCAAACTAAAGAGCGGTACGACAACTAAACGCAAGGTGTGGTCCTAGACTGGACAATTGACCAAAATTGAATAGAGAGTGGATTAAATAGTACCCTATCAACACTAAACTTCCTTGTGGTAGCTGTACTGAAGTTACATAAGAATAAGACTGTCATTGCATAGCAAATCGAGTCTACCAATCAATAGCCACTGGCTACAATCGCCTCCTCCCCTCCCCAGCTATTTAGTGATTCACATGAGCCCTCCCAGCCCTTCACCTTCTTCCCCGACATCATCTCTGTCCCTGCTTCAGAGGCCTTTACCATACCCTCCACTCTCTGCCCACCTAGCTCTCTGTTCCTGTGCTCTTGTTTCTCCTCACTCTGCGTCCCCAAGCTCCTTCCACCTCTGCGCGGCTCCCTTTCCTCTCCAGGCGCGCACCCCTCACTGCGGCGCTCCGCTGTGCGCCTGCGCTTTGCACCGCCGGAGCCGGGAGGGCCGAGTTGGAGGAAATTCGGCGCTGCGAGTGCGGTTTGCACACGATCCGGGCTCGGGGGTCGACGCCCGCGCCGGACTGGGACAAGTGGCTGCGCTCGCCCACACCGCAGCCCTCCTGCCCGCGATGGGCTGCTCCAGCAGCGCCCTCAACAAGGCCGGCGACAGCAGCAAGCCCCGCAGCGGTGAGCAGGGGACCTGGCCCCAACCCCGCCCGGGTCTCGGGCTTCAAGTCGGCTTGCTCCCTGGGGGTCCGAAAGATGCTACTCGTGCCCACCCCGCCCGGCGGGGGGCGGGCTCTTCCCTGAGCGCAGCGCCACTCCCTCCCGAAGTCTGGAGCGGGGCTGCTGTGACCCGTGGTGCGGAGGTCCCGGGGCGCTGCGCCGCGCACACTGTCCGAGGCGCGAGGCCAAAGGGCGGGCGCTGGGATTACCCTGTCCTCCGGTGTGATCGCGGGGGACTGGTGTTAAATCCCTAACGCGATTAACCGCGCGTTCTCTTAAACAGATGCGAAATTTCCTGTCCTGCCAATAGGTGCTATTTAATTTCCTGACAGTACGAAATTTCAGATTATATACAGATGCAAATTAACTGCTAACCATTAGTTTCTGGTTGTAAGGAGAAACGTGATATCCACTTTTCTATCAAGACCTTCTCCGCCTTGCCCTCCTGTCAGCGTTTCAGCTTCGGAGATGGCAAAGAATACGGAGAGTACTACAGATGGGCAGTCACTCCATCGGATAGGTTCCTGCACTTTTGAAGAGGTCAGATACACTTTCGCCTATCCTTGGCTTAAGTATTTCTTGACAAATATGCATGTGATAAACAGCGGTCATCACTGAATCTTATAAAGAAATTCAGCTAGCGTATTTTGAGCGTCTGTTATATAACAGCCAGGTGCTTGGCTAGATGCTGGAGATACAAGTGGCCTGACTTTTGGGGTTTGGGGGTGGAAGAGACAGACAATAAATTAGACCAATGATTAAGATAGTTTCTCACAGTGATAAGTGCTGTGAAAAAAATACAAGCAAATTAATGAACTAGAGAATGACTGGGTTGTACAGCCGACTCACTTCGATTTTGAACGGCTGAGGTTTTGGACAAAGCTCTGAGGGATAAGCAAATTCCTTCAGGCTAGTTTACAGTCTTCTTGAAGGTGAACTGTAGGGGATATTTCGTACTTTGGAATATCAAAGGATATTCCTTTTCACAGGTCTTCTTTTAGCACCTTGTGTTCTTCCAATAGCACAGAAATGTGTTCTTTGATTTTGTAGTAGAAAGCACAGAGTTTTCATGAATGCTGTTTCAAAGCTCAGACACTGTGTCCTAAGGGGCCGGCCCCGTGGCATAGTGGTTAAGTTTGTGTGCTGGGCTCCACCGCCCTGGTGTCACAGGTTCGGACCCCCAGCACGGGCCTAGGCACCACTCATCAAGCCATGCTGTGGCAGCATCCCATATACAAAATAGAGGAAATCCCAAATATGGGTGGTTAAGTTTGCATGCTCCGCTTCAGTGGCCCCGGGTTCTCAGGTTCGGATCCCGGGCGCCCACCAACGCACCGCTTGTCAAGCCATGCTGTGGCGGGGTCCCATGTAACGTAGAGGAAGATGGGCACAGATGTTAGCCCAGGGCCAGTCTTCTTCAGCAAAAAAAACTGATGCTTCAGGAAGATACACCATATTATTTTGGCTTCTCTTATACTCTGCCATGCCCCTAGGAGCAGCATCCTGGTTTAAAAAGCAGAGCATTAATTCATCATTATAGATTTTTTAAACTGATAAAAACATGTATTGCAGGGAATGTTACTCTTGGGGAAGGGCAAAAGTATCCGTAGGTGGAATGGGGTTTTTAAGCCTCTCAGAAAGTAATGAATGACCTTGTTTTTTAAAAAACATTTTATTGCCAATATTAATAAGCTTCCACATGAGTCACACCTTTTCATTTTTTAGTCATGCTTTCATTGCTGTTCTAAGTTTTCATGGATGTTATTCTAAAAGAAATGTTAAAATGCCTGACAAGCAGTTATAGTGCACAGAAGATTAACTAATACACTGCGTACATTGCTCAGTGTACGTATTGCATCAATCAACAGGTGTATTTTGCTGCTGCTCCTCAATCAGACAGTACCCCCTTGTAATTGGATACTATTGTGTGTTCATTGGCATTTCGACTCCTGATGTTGGAGGCCCCAATAAATAATTCATTCCTGTTTCTGCAGCTCAGAACTTCTTTAAATATTATATACTATACAATCCCAAGTCAGTGTGTATGGGCTTTTGGATAAAAACAGTCCAAGTTTATTAAATGTTCTATACATGCATTTACTCACTGTACCCCCTAGTGCCTAAAAATGCTTGGTACATAATTGTTGAATGAATTACTTCATTTAATCCTTATGACAATGCTATGACTAAGTGCGTCTTATGATTTTCCCCATTTTACAGATAAGAGTAAATAATTTGCCCAAGGTCACAGGGCTCTTTAAGAATCAGAGCTGGGCTTTGAATTCAGGTACTCTAATTCCAGAGCTTGACCTAGTCCTTCTTAAACCAGCTTGTGATAACTAGATTTAAATCTGTTTTTGCCTCAAATCACTCTGGATCCCCATTAGATGTGTGGTCATCCACTATGCAAACAACAAAAAAAATATAATAAAATATGTTAGAGTATTTATCATAATTTAATAAATTCAATAATATATAATTTAATAGAGTATTTATTATAATCCCCAAATAAGATATAATAAATATGCAAATATATATTATATGTAATATATAAATATATTGTATATTAATATATAATAACTACAATAAATGTTATAAGTAAGATATTTATTTATGTCTAAATAAGAGTCAGTAAAATATGAAGTTTATATTTGCTTCCAAATTTAAAGTAGGAATGTTTGTAGGACATTTAACCTTAGAGATATTTTAAGCAGAGTACATAGATGTAGAGAAATTTTCAGTGCCCTCCCATAGAGATACAGATAATCTTCATATCATAAGAGATTCTTTTAAATTCACAATAGCAACCTTAGAACTCCATGGGTTAAATCTAAAATACATCAACTAGCCTGTAGACTGGATTTGTGTTGTCAGTTCTGCCTAACAATTTTCTGTAACTGGCTTAGGAACTGTTATATACTATGCAGTATTAGCCTACAAGCAAAAGAATCATAAAATAGGGCCGGCCTGGTGGGGCAAGCGGTTAAGTGCGCGCGCTCTGCTGCGGCACCCTGGGGTTCGCCGGTTCAGATCCCGGGTGCGCACCGATGCACTGCTTGGCAAGCTATGCTGTGGTGGTGTCCCATATAAAGTGGAGGAAGAAGGGCACTGATGTTAGCCCAGGGCAAGTCTTCCTCAGCAAAAAAAAGAGGAAGATTGGCAGATGTTAGCACAGGGCTGATCTTCCTCACACACACACAAAAAAACGAATCATAAAATAATAGGTTGGACTAGGTTACCTCTAAGGTCTCTTATAGCTTTAAAACTCTCCCGTCAGATGCTGAACCCCTCCAAAGACCAATCACTAGGGAAAGAGCTGTGTGTATTGGGGATGGGGGGTCGGGGGCGGGCAGGGGAGGTGGGGACAGAAGTGGAGACTGGCCTCTGGTTGTAAATAATAATCCAGTGCTACTCAAAGTATAGAACAGTGCCTGGTACTCGGTAGTCACACACAGATTTTTACTGCATGTCCTGAAATGTGTAAGGAAAGAGGCTTTTCTTTCCAAAAAGACCATTAGGCAGATTGAGTTTGGAATTTCTTGTGTTTGTGGAAGCAAGTTCTAAATATTAGGACAATTTCTGTACTTTTCAGTGCCCCGAGGATCTGATGGAATCCGAACACAAAGGTTTCGTTGACTTCACAGACTTTAATGGACCCAAAGGTTTCTAGACTTTTGGTATCCAAACCCTCCTCCCATTGCTACCAGCCCCCTGCTTATATGTGTAATTCCAGCTCCACTGTGTCCTAATATAAATGCCATCCATTTCTCGCAGACTTCTTCCTGAGATTTTATAGCTTAAGCACCAATGGACAAAGTAAACAGATGGTAATTATTGACAAATTTGTTGCTAGGTTAATGTGTACATTTCCACTGACAGCTATAATCGTGTGTTTGTTCTCACCTGGACTCTCACTTGCTGCTTGGTGCCCACACTGCCTAGGCAATAAGATGAGCTTGAATTTCACACAGTTAAGTGAATTGTTCTTTGTACTGGGGAGATACCTTCAGTCTTCAACTAATATTTTCACACGCTGACATTTCAGTACTAAGTAGACAAACATTTTTCTTTTGTAATTGAAGAACAAACATCATTAACGTTAAAATGAATTTTTATAGGATTTTCTTGCATACAGATATTATATGAATGGGATTTCTTTCTTTTCAATGCTCGAGGTCTCTGGACTGAGTCTTGTATGTCTTTGTGTCCCCTTTAGAGCCAGGCACACAGAAAATGCTTGGTAAGTCTTGTGGTAGGCCTGGTTCTTAAAGACAGCTAATTAAAATGGAATATAAGAACTCCATACATGGTTCAAAAATTTGAAAACATTTGAAAAATGCATGCAGTGAAAAGCACAACTCCCACCCATTCCCACCAGTCATACTCATGGGCAAATATTTTTTTTTTGTATATTTTTCCAAAGTTTCTTTATACATTGCAAATATTATTTACCTCTCCCATCTTTATTCATAAAGTGTAGCGTATTATACCCGCTACTCTTCACCTTGTTTTTGTCACCTAACAATATGGAGATCTTTCTATATTGACATTTAGAGACTTCTTTCTCCTTTTTTACCCTTGCTTAATAATCCATTGTGTGATTTATTTAACCTGTCTCCTATTGAGGGACATTTGATTTGTTTTTAGTCTTTTCCTGTTGCAAACAAGGCTGCAATGAATTCCTTTATACATACCTCATTTTGAGTCATTTTGAATATCTGTAGGACCGTTTCCCAGAAGTGGCATTACTAGGTCAAAGGGTATGTGTATTTCTAGTTTTGATAGATAACTGCCTAAATGTCCCCACAGGGTTGTACCAGTTTACGCTCTCATCAACAATACAATAAACCTTTTTCTAAAATTGAAGACTTTCCAACATTAGTGCAGCCGCAGCAAAACATGGGTATGGAGCAGGAGTCAGCAGACAAGGTAGGAGCACCCTCTTGGTTCCAGGTACTTTA